ATGAAGTGAATCGAAGTTCATGAAACGCGTTGAGAGAATACGATGCATTGGGATCTTGTAAGAACATCTTTGAGACCAATTTGGTGGAAATAATGTGAATTAAATCATCATCTATGCAATATTCTTTGTCTATGCCATCTGGAAAACTGCACTAAATCAGCCGTATGAATTTTAATTTATAGGATGTAATTACGTTTTTAATCTGTTTTTGTACCAATAAAATGGAAACCAATTTTGATTGAATGTGTTGATGGCGTAGTTGGTGGTGAACCCTCTAAAGTGCCACGGGTGATTCCATCTCGCTGTTCACATCTTGCCTATGAAATGATCTCTTTGTGTTTAGTGTCCTCCTCCTGGAGCACGCCTGAACTCCGCCTGAATTCTGAAGGGACTCTGCTGGTTGAAGAAAATCCCCATACAAGCTACTGACATGCCCCAACGCCCCCCCCCCCCCCCCCCAACCCCAAACCCCCCCAATGCCCCCCCCCCCCCCCGGTGTGAACATTGATGACCTGAGCCGACATCCCTGGTCTTGTAGAGAGACCAGCAATCATGGGCTTTGCAACATCTCTGGAATTGCTCGTATGAAGACACTCCATGGTAGCCATAGAAACGGATGAAAATGACCGTCACCTAAAGTGCGTCAAGTGGTCTGCGGAGGAACGCCATCCCGTGATTGGTCGGGGAGTCGGTATCAGCGGTCAGCTCCATCAGATTCTTTATCACTCCAAGCTGCTGCAAGCACCATGTCATCCAGCTTTGCATTTAGAGAATAAAAAGTTAAACTAATTTTATGCAGAAATATATCTGAATTCCGGGGAAAAGTAAAAATCCTCCCCCCCCCCCCCGGCACTGCGAGGGGTAAATACACATTGAGGGCTAGGCCAGTGTCTACCAATGGGGGGTGCTATTTGGTGTCCCCTGGGGTGCTGGGACAAGGGGTGGGCAGGAGGGGTGGCTGCCCTGGGCACTGTGGTATCATGTGGGGGAGGGGATTTGTGTTGGGAGGGGGATTTGGGGGCAGGGAATATATATATATATATTTTTTTTTTTTTTTTTTTATTATTTTTATTATTTATTTATTTTTTAATATATATTGAATATGGACAAAATTGTAGTACTGTCAATATATTTGGGGAAGAATATTTTAAAAATATATTTAAAATATATTTTTCTTCCATGTGGGTGACCCGTGTAATATGAAGGTGGGGTGACAGTGACCCCTGTAATACATGGGGGGGTGACACTGGCCTTGTATTATGAAGGGGGGGTGACACTGAGCCCTATATAGTGAAGGGGGGGGTGACACTGACCCCTGTATTATGAAGGGGGGGTGACACTGACCCCTGTATTATGAAGGGGGTGACACTGACCCCTGTATTATGAAGCTGGGGTGACAGTGACCTCTGTAATACATGGGGGGGTGACACTGACCGCTGTATTATAAAGGTGGGGTGACAGTGAGCCCTGTTTTATGAAGAGGGGGTGGCACTGACCCCTGTATTATGGGGGATGACACTGACCCCTGTATAATGGCGGGGGGGGGGGGGGGTGACATTAAGCCCTGTATTATGGGGGATGACACTGACCCTGTTTATGGTGGGGGAGGTGACATTAACCCCTGTATTATGAAGGGGTAGTGACACTGACTCCTGTATTATAGGGGGATGATACTGATTCCTGTATTAAGGTGGGGTGACGGTGACTCCTTTTTATGAAGGGGGGTGACACTGACCCCTGTATTATATGGAGGTGACACTGACCCCTGAATTATGAAGGGGGGTGACACTGACCCCTGTATTACAAAGGGAGGTGCTACTGACCCCTGTATTATGAAAGGTGGTGACACTGACCCCTGTATTATGAAGGTGGGGTGACAGTGGCCCCTGTATTATGAAGGGGGGGTGACACTGACCCCTGTATTATGAAGGTGGGGTGACAGTGGCCCCTGTATTATGAAGGGGGGGTGACACTGACCCCTGTATTATGAAGGGAGGTGCTACTGATCCCTGTATTATGAAGGGGGGGTGACACTGACCCCTGTATTATGAAGGGGGGGTGACATTGGCCCCTATATTATGAAGGGGGTGACACTGACCCCTGTATTATGAAGGTGGGGTGACAGTGGCCCCTGTATTATGAAGGGGGGTGTGTGACACTGACCCCTGTATTATGAAGGTGGGGTGACAGTGGCCCCTGTATTATGATGGGGGGGTGACACTGACCCCTGTATTATGAAGGTGGGGTGACACTGACCCCTGTATTATGAAGGAAGGGGGGTGACACTGACCCCTGTATTATGAAGGGAGGTGCTACTGATCCCTGTATTATGATGGGGGGGTGACACTGACCCCTGTATTATGAAGGTGGGGTGACAGTGGCCCCTGTATTATGAAGGGGGGGTGACACTGACCCCTGTACATGTTTGGGTTTGGCTTCCTTTTCCTGTGCAGAGCGACCTGCCTTCTGCACACTGACCACTGGAGGCGCTCACTGGTGGCATTTGGTGCATGTATGTGCCGTGTGGTTTAGCAGCCTGTTCATACTATAGGGCCCATGTACATGTAAGTGTTGCTGGACCCGCAGCATTTTGGTCAGTGCAGCGTACTATGGTGCAGTAGGGCACGCTAAACACCAAGTTTTTCTGCATGTTACCCCGATATATCAGTGTCAATGGGCACTAACAGGAGATTTCATTATTCTGTGACACCCCCTGATCCCTCCTGCCCCATCCGGGGCACTTTTCCCGGTTTCCTGTCCCGGGTATACATAAGTGCCGTGTAGGACACCCCTGCACCGTATCCTTCTCTCCGCGCCGCACTCTATCCCTCCGCTCCCCCTCTCATCCCAGCAATTGAGCAGCGCGGTGTCTGGTGATGCAGTATATTAGAAGGTCTATTGATCTCGGAGAAAATTGGATTTTCTATATCTCTTGTTAGACCTTTTGTTGGGCCAACCATAAGAATGATACTTTGTCGTGGCGGAGATGTGATCCCTGGTGAAAAGACATTTCTGTGGTATGGAAAGCTAATGAGGAGGGCAGCGCTGCCATCGGTAATAGGCGCCATAAAGGCTCCGTATAGGATCATAAAATTGACTTTTAAAAAGGCGAATCATGGCTGATATAACGCGCTATCTGGCCGCGGCTCTTCATGGAGCTGAATGGATGGGAATTACTTGCACAATTCAACTCCTTTTATCTGCAGATTTTGCACAGGGAGGTTGAATAAAGAATTACATGGATCCGGTTCTACTTGTTATAATGGCCGAGTCGATAGGACTGGAAGCTGCTGACGAAGCGCGAGGAACTGAGTTCAGCTCTTCGCCTTGGCTGTGCGTTCCCAGCGGCGCCCGGGTGTGTGATTGCAGACCTGTGCCTCACCCGCCACTTATTATTTCACATGCGAGGCTCGGAGCTCAGGGAACTCGCCGTATTAACAATTGTTTGTCCCGGAATCATAACCTTCATGCAGAAGAGAAGCTGCCTTCCGGGGCCCCAACACTCAAACAGTGCAAAGCTAAAAATATTTGCAACCTGGGCACAGCCTACGATGGCCTCAACGCCGCCTAAATGATGGCCTCAACGCCGCCTAAATGATGGCCTCAACGCCGCCTAAATGATGGCCTCAACGCAGCCTAAATGATGGCCTCAACGCCGCCTAAATGATGGCCTCAACGCAGCCTAAATGATGGCCTCAACGCCGCCTAAATGATGGCCTCAACGCAGCCTAAATGATGGCTTCAATGCCGCCTAAATGATGGCCTCAACGCCGCCTAAATGATGGCCTCAACGCAGCCTAAATGATGGCCTCAACGCCGCCTAAACGATGGCCTTAACGCCGCCTAAACAATGGCCTCAACGCCGCCTAAATGATGGCCTGAACGCCGCCTAAATGATGGCCTTAACGCCGCCTAAACAATGGCCTCAACGCCGCCTAAATGATGGCCTCAACGCGGCCTAAACAATGGCCTCAACGCCGCCTAAATGATGGCCTCAACGCCGCCTAAACGATGGCCTCAATGCCGCCTAAATGATGGCCTCAACGCGGCCTAAACAATGGCCTCAACGCCGCCTAAATGATGGCCTCAACGCAGCCTAAATGATGGCCTCAACGCCGCCTAAATGATGGCCTCAACGCAGCCTAAATGATGGCCTCAACGCCGCCTAAACGATGGCCTCAACGCCGCCTAAACGATGGCCTCAACGCCGCCTAAATGATGGCCTCAACGCAGCCTAAATGATGGCCTCAACGCAGCCTAAATGATGGCCTCAACGCCGCCTAAACGATGGCCTCAATGCCACCTAAACGATGGCCTCAATGCCGCCTAAACGATGGCCTCAATGCCGCCTAAACGATGGCCTCAACGCCGCCTAAACGATGGCCTCAACGCCGCCTAAATGATGGCCTCAACGCCGCCTAAACGATGGCCTCAACGCCGCCTAAACGATGGCCTCAACGCCCCCTAAATGATGGCCTTTGCCGCAAAGATGACGACCTAATAGGACCCGCTATGGAACAAAGGTTTGTAAAGGACTAAAGTGTCTCTTGTGTTCCCTCCATGGACATTTGGACTGGAGATTCTCTGACTCTGGTTTAGGCTGAAGGTACTTCAGAAGTTCCATCACAAAGTCATGTGACACGATCTCTAGATTGAAGGGTTGGTTCACCTTTACAGGAAATCTGCCTATTCAGGTCAGGGGTGTCTGCAGATACAAACTGTGCAGCTTTGACTGAACTTGGATTATGACCTTACTACACATGTAGAATATCTACATGCCTCATGAAGCCTGGATAAAAAACTCCCAGAGTTTTCATCATCCTGTCCCTAACATCCATGTTTCCAAAATACAGTCCTTGTCAACCTACAAGAGCACAAAGCTAACAATTCATTCATTTGTAAATGTTCACCTCAACTATTGCCCTCCTAAGTCCCTCCTAACAGGCCTGTGCAGAATATTCTGTCATGAATGCTGCTGCCAGACACACACATCTTATCGACCATTCAGTGTCTTCCCCCTCTCTGCCAATCCCTCCACTGCCCTCCATCCAGTGTCCTCCATCTTTCCTCTGCCATTCCCTCCACTGACCTCCATTCAGTGTCCTCCATCCTTCTCTGCCAATCCCTCCACTGGCCTCCATTCAGTGTCTTCCACCCCTCTCTGCCAATCCCTCCACTGGCCTCCACTCAGTGTTCTCCACCCCTCCCTGCCATTCCCTCCACTGACCTCCATTCAGTGTCTTCCACCCCTCTCTGCCAATCCCTCCACTGGCCTCCACTCAATGTCCTCCACCCCTCTCTGCCAATCCCTCTACTGGACTCCACTCAGTGTCCTCCACCCTCTCTGCCAATCCCTCCACTGGCCTCCACTCAGTGTCCTCCACCCCTCTCTGCCAATCCCTCCACTGGACTCCACTCAGTGTTCTCCACCCCTCCCTGCCAATCCCTCCACTGACCTCCACTAAGTGTTCTCCACCCCTCTCTACCAATCCCTCCACTGGCCTCAACTCAGTGTCCTCCACCCCTCTCTGCTAATCCCTCCACTGACCTCCACTCAGTGTCCTCCACCCCTCTCTGCTAATCCCTTCACTGGCCTCCATTCAGTGTCCTCCATCCCTCTCCGCCAATCCGCCTCCCTCCATTGGCTTCCAATCACCCAATAAATACAATTCAAAAAACTCTCACAACATGCAAAGCCATCCACAGCTTTACCCTGAGCTACACAACCAAACTCATCTCAAAATTTCACCCAAACCGTCCTCACCACTCCTCCCAAGACCTCCTGCTCTCTATCTAAAATTTCTCTAGAGCCTCACCTATCCTCTGGAACTCCCTACCTTAATCTGTCCACCACTGAAATTTTACGTCTTCCATCTGCTCATCCCCCACACAATTATTAACGTTTGTGCTGCTTGACCCTCCTTTTATATTGAAAGCTCTGAAGAGCAGGGCGCTCCTAACCCTCGTGTATTGAACTGTTTTCTAATGAACTGTCTCCCTTTTTTTTGTAGAGCTCTGCGCAAACTGTTGGTGCCATATAAATCCCGTGCGATAATACGAATAGAGCATGCTAACTCTCCTTGGCTTCATGGATCAGCATTGAGGCCCATCTAGGATGCCAGTCCCTGAAAGAGCTTCAAAGTCTAGAGAACTTACTACATCCCAGGAACGTACATCTTTATTTGTTGAGAAATAATGAACGGATACGTTATTCCTTGCCATCCCTGCCTCCTACTAGTTATGGCCTCCTATAGTCGCTGCCTATGCTAGCCCTGGATCTGTGACCCGTCTAGTTTCCCTTCTTTCATGTTTTCTTTCTGATTCCCTTTTGTTTTATTTTCTTTTCTTCTAACCTTTTTTCTTTTCTCTTCTTTTTCCGATATTATGTTGGATTACTGCTGCTATTTGGTTCGGCTTTTTGCCGTCCCTCCTTGATGTCATTGGACGTTTTGTTATTTGACTAATACAAGTCAGCAGGATGTATCTGTTTATGTGTTTCTGCTCTGCCCCTGCGAGGGCCGATTTTGAGCTTGTTGTATTCTAAAAAAACAAAACGTTCTTAATAAAAATATTGAAACAGAAATAATGAACGAGGCTAATGGCATGACAAGGACGATTATACAATCACGCGTCCGTTTCAGGAATGGGTCTTCCCTCGGGATTAGTTTGGCAAGTTTCTCCATATATGAACTAGGTACGTTGTCAATGTAACGGAACCGGACCCCGACTGCACTCGGGTATTTCTGTTATACTCTCGCTTCCCTGTCCGAACACAGATCCCCGGACCCCACCGCTGATCATACAGGAAATAGACAGCACCAGACTCTTCTTAAGACAGGAAGTGGACTGCATTATTTTAACAAACACAAGATATATACATTCAAGGAAACAACCCCCCTCCCTGCATAAGGACACAGGGCGGGGCAAACCACATCTAGCAACCAGAGACACACTAACAGACAGTCCCATTAGAAGGGCTGCTGGAAACACCCCCCACCAAGCCAATACACAAACACAAGATATATACATTCAAGGGAACAACCCCCCTCCCTGCATAAGGACACAGGGCAAGGCAAACCAAATCTAAACCAGAGCACAGTCCATCAGGAGGGCTGCTGGAAACACCGCCCCACCAAGCCAATACACAAACACAAGATATATACATTCAGAAGTCCCATAAGGAGGGCAAGGCTAGCAACCAGAACACCACCCCAGTCCCATCAGGAGGGCTGCCAAACACCCCCCACAGCCAATACACAAACACAAGATATATACATTCAAGGGAACAACCCCCCTCCCTGCATAAGGACACAGGGCGGGGCAAACCAAATCTAGCAACCAGAGACACACCAACAGACAGTCCCATTAGGAAGGCTGCTGGAAACACCCCCCACCAAGCCAATACACAAACACAAGATATATATACATTCAAGGGAACAACCCCCCTCCCTGCATAAGGATACAGGGCGGGTCAAACCAAATCTATCAACCAGAGACACACCAACAGACAGTCCCATTAGGAAGGCTGCTGGAAACACCCCCCCCACCAAGCCAATACACAAACACAAGATATATACATTCAAGGGAACAACCCCCCTCCCTGCATAAGGATACAGGGCGGGGCAAACCAAATCTATCAACCAGAGACACACCAACAGACAGTCCCATTAGGAAGGCTGCTGGAAACACCCCCCACCAAGCCAATACACAAACACATAATAGAACAATGAGACGCATGGCAGTAAACAATGAACAACCCCCCACCCCCCACCTATACATGTCTACAAAATATCAGGACAGACCACCCTGTACCCCTAACAGGCACAGGGTGACTTACACATAAGAGGGATATGGGGAGCTGAGACAGGGATCTCCCCACCCAAAAAAGTCACTCCCGTCACAGTCAGCTATTGGGGCTCCGAAGGCCAAGGTCTGGTCATTGGACCATCTGAAATGTCTCCTCAATACGACGCGCCTGGAATCAGTGTTTAGTACGACCCCCCTGGTGTCCTCTTTCGATTCATTCGATTGGCACATTATATATCCAGAACTTCTTCAGTTGTTACAATAAAGTTGTGCAGTTTTTTTTTTTTTCTTTTTTTATGCCTTAAAAGCTTAAAACAATTTGAGATAATCAGAACAGAACATCTGACATCAAAATTACCCTAAATTGTTCCTGAGTTGTGAAGATGGAGCTGTTCTGGCACAGTTCACACACGCTCACTCATGCAGTCGGGGGGGTGAAGGACCATTAAACAATTCCTCCTAAAATTATACGGCACCGAGGGGCCGGGAGGGGGGAGGGCACACGGCTTTTTCCTTTAACAGGCCCTTATGTTGTCATAAATATTGTTTTCTTATTGGATCGCTGTGATTTGCCCAATTTAGACATTTTTATCACAAAAAACAACTCGTTTGATTTTATTTTTTTTAACCTGCAAAACGCTTATCATTCATATTCAGTTCTAAATGCTGGGGGGGGGGGGGGTAAAAGGCAGCAAAACGGTCTGAGTGCACCTGGCACTGAAAAATCTTTTATCTGGTTTTCTGCATTGATCTGCCATGTGGTGCCTTCTCTTACTCTGGTTTACACAATTTCACAACTGGAACACAATGAATCTTGGAGAAAAATGTGTGAATCCTGGGGGAAAGATGTGTGAATTCTACAGGAAAGATGTGTCAATACTGGGAGGAAAGATGTGTGAATCCTGCTGGGAAAATATGTGAATCCTGGGGAAAGATGTGTGAATCCTGCTGGGAAAGATATGTGAATCCTGGGGGAAAGATGTGCCAATCCTGGTTGGGTGTCAAAACTGGGGGAAAGATGTGCCAATACTGAGGGAAAGATGTGACAATACTGAGGGAAAGATGTGTGAATCCTGGGGGAAAGAAGTGTGAATCCTGGGGGAAAGATATGTCAACAATGGGGGAAAGATGTCCAATACTGGGGGGAAAGATGTGTGAATCCTGCTGGGAAAATATGTGAATCCTGGGGGAAAGATGTGTGAATCCTGCTGGGAAAATATGTGAATCCTGGGGGAAAGATATGTGTGAATCCTGGTTGAAAGATGTGTCAAAACTGGGGGAAAGATGTGCCAATACTGGGGAAAGATGTGACAATACTGGGGAAAGATGTGTGAATCCTGGGGGAAAGAAGTGTGAATCCTGGGGGAAAGATATGTCAACAATGGGGAAAGATGTCCAATACTGGGGGGAAAGATGTGTGAATCCTGGGGGAAAGATATGTCAATAATGGGGGAAAGATGTGCCAATACTGGGGGGGGAAAGATGTGTCAATCCTGGGGAAAGATGTGTCAATACTGGTGGGAAAGATGTGTGAATCCTGCTGGGAAAATATGTGAATCCTGGGGGGAAAGATGTGTGAATCCTGCTGGGAAAATGTGTGAATCCTGGGGGAAAGATATGTCAATACTGAGGGGAAAAATGTGTGAATCCTTAGGGAAAGATGTTTTTTAAACTGAGGAGAAAGATGTGTGAATCCTGGGGGAAGATATGTCAATACTGAGGGGAAAAATGTGTGAATCCTTAGGGAAAGCGGGGAACAGGGGGGATCAGATGGGATCAGTGGGGATCAGAGGGGATCAGTGGGGATCAGCGGGGAACAGGGGGGATCAGCGGAGATCAGACGGGATCAGCGGAGAACAGGGGGGATCAGTGGGGATCAGAGGGGATCAGCGGGGAACAGGGGGGATCGGCGGGGATCAGCAGGGATCAGAGGGGATCAGCAGGGATCAGAGGGGATCAGCAGGGGATCAGAGGGGGGATCACAGCGGGGAACAGGGGGGATCAGCGGGGATCAGAGGGGATCAGCAGAGCAGACGGATCCGATTTCCAGAGTCCGCCCCGTCTAAAAGGAGCCTTATAAATAAACCCAGCACAATAGTATGGGCTGTGATTTGGGGGAAATATATTTTTGCTGGAAATCGTTTTCGGATACCAAATAAATTGATTGTTAAAGTGTATTTAAACCGAAAAACAAAACCTAATAATAGAAGTCACCTTCCACCACATACATACAGGGGACTGTAATTGTGCCCCCGAAAATCGAGATCAGGCAACAAATGTCATTACCACTCACACAGATCTGTATTACAGAATCACACATGTAAAGATTCCCTACAAAGATCACATGAAGGACAGGAGATAGTCAGTGGAGGGGTATGATGGGGTTAATAGTCCATCTACGCGTTTCACGGGATGGCCCACTTCATCAGAGCCCTTTAATAAACCTCAAAGATGTCTGCAATTGTCTCGTGACGATAAATAAAGTACAAACCCCACGGCACGGATGTCATCCAGGGATCGGGGGCAATCAATGAGCCCACCTGAGCC